AAGCAAGGAAAATAAACATATAGAAATGAAGGTGTATTTAAGAAATAAATTAGTACCTAACATCATGTTAAGAATCACATATAGCAAAAAGCTAAATTTGTGACAAGTCCTGAGACCCAAATGTGATTTTAGCCGTTTATAATTATTTCAAAAGACATACATATTTTGTGAACTTGATGATGAAGTTATGTGTACAAACGAGTGAGTTAGTTAATATCACTGCTGTTATGTGTGTCATACTTATCCATATAATGGAATTCATTTCCCTATAATTACGCCATTGTTTACTGTTGTTTCTTACAACTATTTCCAAGCCCTAGCTCTTTATTTTAAAAAAGTAGCATAATTGTGAAACTTTTTTAATAAGATATTTATCAGTCCCATAAATAAAGGGTTAAATACCGAAGTGGAAGCCAACATTAGCATATTTTATACAAGCAATGCTTAGTTAGCGTGTCAATTCATTATTTATATGAATAAAACATTTTAACTGTTTCAAAAGATTTACATAGTCTAAATGATTTCAATAAGAATATGCTGGTATTTTGTACAGGCCCAGATGTGATAATTATACAGTCAGGATTATATCTACCTGTCTGCAACAGATCAGGTGACGGTCAAAAGTGAGTAGTTTTCAAGCATAACTATATTCAAGATCTCTGTATGAAGATAGTCATATCTTTTTAATGGATTTAGTCAGAAGCTAAGGTATCTTGTGGACATTAGTGACGATTTGTATTTGGGTGTAAAATGACCATATTGCTCCAGAAAAGCAAAGAATTCCACTGAAATTACGACTAAAACAATGTGTATATGTTTGGATTATCTCAATTTTTACATTGTAACAGTAACTTACAGGAAAATTTGCACACATCTTGGGCAATATAGGACTCTTCCTGTGTAATTGAAATTTGTAATAAATCAAAATTTGACTTTTAGGAATCAACGACAAAATGGTGAGTAATTGTAAATTTTTGCACTATTCGATGGAATATAATTATGACTGAAGTATCAGTGACACAGCATAGATCCTAAATATTCAATCAATTAAACCTTGCTTAAATTTCAATTCTAATTTTTGTTAAAGTTTATTATTAAGTCAGAATGAATGAGAGAAGGGAATAGAGGGAGATCTTTTTTCTTTATGTACTCTGTAGATTTTATTGACTGTTCAGTACCTTAGGTCAAACATTCATTGTTTAGTCACCTTGCACTCCTTCCGTGATTATAACCTATCATGGATGATGATGGTTTTAGTAATAATAATGGTTTTAATACTAATAGTCACTCAACCACGAAGCTTGAGCTTGGAGTGTACCAAATGATTTGGTAACAGTAAAAACCCTTTGTTCGAGGTGTAAAATGTACTAATGTTGTAGAGACAACTATGATATATTTTTATTGCAATATGTCTGATATTAAATGTGGCAAATATTTTTTCATGCAAATTATGTTATTTTTAACATGAATTTATTTTGAAATACAGATTATTCAATGTGACATTTTGCAAATTAAAAAGCCCTTATTTAAACAAATGAATATGTTTTCTGCCATGCATATTTAGTTCTAAATGGCCTTATAGTTCTTCAAGAGTAAAAATTCTGAAAGGAAAAGAAAAAAAAGTTTTGTCAAAAAACATACAGACGGTAACACAGACAGGCGAATTTACATAGCCAGCTTTACACTGGGCTTACATGAGAATATATGTCAAGTTGCTTTTCAAATGTTAATATTTTAAAGCATAACAGTAAATATTAACCAGTCATTTATACGTTGATTCTCTCCATGGATTTCTCTTTCTCTGCTCTTTGATGTAATATTGCAGAATGCTTCGTGTTCTACTACTTCCTTTGTTCATATTAAACTTTGCACTTTTTATGTTTATTTCAAAATCAGCGAACAAATCCTATGGATTTCCTTCCGTATTCAAAATTTAGAAAACATTGAATCACAATGCAAGGCAAAATATATGAACAGTGCAATGTATTTTAATCTTTGTTTCATTGTATATTGGTCATGTAATTGCTTGCATACTTCATGATTAGGCCAATAGTCACATTGCTTTGCACAAAAGAAGGAAAAATTTCTATACAAAGAGATATATAGATTATATTGAAAACACATACTATGTATGGATAAGCGAGACGAGGCTTTCATTCATTCATTTAATATTCTTTTCTCAGGAACATCTACAAATTAAAGCTAAACGAACAAAAACGTTTAACAATTTTAAGAAAATCACCCCTACCACGCCCAGGTCCAAGGTTCAGGCCAAATGGCGGGGTATAAATAAAAACAAATTTTAAAGACAACTTCTTCTGTATCCATAGCATGGACATATATTAGGCAACCCCTATGCATGACTATTATGAATATTCAACCCTTTATCAAAATTTTAAATTAATGCATTCTGAATAAAGCAATTATTTCTTTGATTCACCAGTGAATGAGATAACATCGCCTGAAGACTTTAAAAAAAACTTAATCTTATGTCCTAAAAATATCAAATGTAGAAATCTTAAGACATCTAGGACACAGAGAGTTAAAATTTTATTTCATCTTATTTTTGATTTTTTCTTTAATTCTGTAATAAACTCTCAGGCGTGCTATAGAAGGTTATTACGGTGAATTTAAAACCAAAGGAGGGATGGGCGATAAATAGAATGCAATAATTCTTCATATATGCTTATTCATTCAGTTGTATTGTGATTTTTCTCATTTAATTTTCTTAATTCTTATGCCTTAACATTCTGACCAGAAGTCCCTGAGGAGACTGAAGCTGTACTGGTGTGTACTTGGTCATTCTTAGTATAGTATAGTGTATTTGTGTATCAAGTCTAATTGAAATTGGACCAAAACTGTGGGAGGAGAACGTTTTGAAATCATTTCAAAGAAATTTTTATTTTAAGCAACCATGGCAACACTGTTCGTAAAATCAAAAACTGAGGTGCAGAATTCTGTATCTTAGTATATTGTATTTGTTTATCAAGTTTTATCGGAGTAGCGTTTGAAGAATTTTCATTACAGCTAAAAAATACACTATTTGTCAAAATCAGAAACCGAGAAATTAGATATCTTACTCATAGAACATGTGCTTGTGTATTAAGTCTTAATGAAATTGACCAAAACTTGGAGGAGTAGCGTTTTGAAAAAAAAAATGTTTACAGACAGACGGACGGACATCTTACTTTTGCATAAGCACTTCTGGTCTCTGACTAGTAAGTAGACCTAAAATTATACTCCGATTTCGAATTTTTATCAGAGTTCCGCTGTTTGAGACGGTAGATAATTCGTCTTCATTCTATGACGATTGTTATGCTCAATTTCTTATGATATTCTTTGATTCGCCAGCGCATGAGATAACATCACTTTCTTTTAGAGAATTATTCTGAGTGTAATGTGTTTCATTATTCCAGACTATATGCTTTGCGAAAGAAGCAAATGGTTTCATAATGTCAAGTTTCAAAAGTAATTTTGAAATATTGTAATTACATAAGTTACATTACATAAGAAGTAAAGCAGAAGAAATTCCTATTTAGTAAGTAATAATTGAAATCCAAAATCATTCAAAATTTGAAGTACTTTGAATTTATTTTTACTCGTTCCATGTTTGAACCTTTACACTCATTTATTAAAAGAGTTCATTTCCTGACATTTTTGTGAAGCTGAAAAATACAACATTAAAACAACAACAAAATGTAAAATAAGCTGATGAGCCAAACAAAGCTTTTTTTTCTTCCTCCTGTTTGTTGTTTCCAGCAAATTTTCACATTTAACTTCCGTTACTAGGTCAATTTCAAATTTAGTACAAAATATGCTTTTCAGTAATGAATGCACTTTTGTTCAAATAATAGTTGACCTGTTTCTAGACTTAGCAGTGTAATAAAATAAGTACATTATTCAAAAGTTTAATAGAACGTGTAATATTTTTATTGGATACCAATATTTTGAAGTATTGTTTGTGATTGGTTTAACTACCTACACTACTTTGTTTACTATGCACTGACAGCTTCCTGTAAATCTTTTATAGCATGTTAAGAACTAATGAGCATTATTTTAATGCATTTACTTTGCTATTTCATGTAAAACGTTTATATGAATGACGAATAAACCCTTATTTTTTATTTTTTTTTCTTTACATGTGTACGAATTTCATTTGGAAGTACACTTCATATCATGGTGAAGTTTATTCGTTCATCGATGTTTCGGAAAGCAACAAATATTCACGTCAAATCGAATTAAAAAAGCACGACTTCAATATCCTATTCTGTTTATTTATAGCATTGTGGACTTCCAGCATATTATAGTTTATAAAGAAATTCAAATCGCACCGATTTCAGTTTTGATATATTTTGACTTTTACTGAACTAATGATTGAAAGGGGTAATTCACACATCACATAGCAATAACATGACATGAAATAGTATTGCTTCCATCTACCATTAATGATACAATCTCTAATTATAGAATTTAGCGATTAATTTTGCAGATGGCACATAAGTCGTTTGGAGTTTAGCGGGAAATATTATGCACAAAGTCGTTTAAACTATTTTCTTATTAGTCCTTACTTTGCTAGGCTAGCAAAGTAAGGGCTAAAGTACGGATATTCCTGAACATAATTACTCATTGTTACAAAAGAAAAAAAATCGTTTACAACATTGACTAGGTGTGGAACTGAGCAGAATACATGCATGAGTACTTAAGTTTTTTTCCTTGCAACTTTATTTAAGAAACTCTGTAAAAAGTTTGATACTGTAGTAAATTTATCTTAGTTATTTTTCTTATCAAATCATTCGACCATTTGTTTTCATGTTTCTTCATACCTTTTCATAAAAAATGTCAACATTTTATCTTTCCAGTTTAAAAATATTATTTTAAAGCCAACATATTGTGGTCATACTAGTACTGGTATATAGTAATGCATATTTAATAGATGAATTGAAAATAATACATTTCAATAAATCAAATCAATATAAGTAACCAAAAATTATTCTGTATCCAATACAATTTATTCTTTTTTAAATCAAGTTAATACAATTATTAAAATAGCTGGGTTTTTTTTTAATTCTCTTAGCTTTTTATTATTCTTTTGAGCATTTCTAGTCCTGCTGCTCCGTTGTCTTTTGGAACCTTAATAACAAAAACGATATCAGATGATAAAGGTTTATTTTCTGGGAATTGCAACGGTGAAAACACAATGGAATTAAAATCATTAGAGTCACATGCACTTTACTAACATTTCATTTCTGGAAAGAATGATTTATCGGATGATTTCTCACGAGAAAATCTTAAAGCTAAATATCTAATGAAAACTTACCATATGACCTGCATCCATGATCCAGAAAAACGAAAAGTTATTATAAGTCTTTTCAAATCCGCATGTATTCGATGTATTTGGGCATTTAAATGGTTCTCTTTCTGCAAGTTCGTAGTCCTTGAATATTTTCAACGTTTCTACCCATCTTAGAGTTCCTTCGGAATAAGCAATAAAAGTATACTTATAAAAAGATATGAGAAATTTAAAAGAATTTTATTTTTCCCCGATGAGCAGTTTCAATAAATAATAGGAATAAATAACATCTTTCTTTTTTTTTTCGAGAAATCAGCAACATGATTATTGGATTTATGTTCATATAGATATTTAAAGTAACATTCGCCAAAATAAGATAAGATTTTTTCAGATTTATAACATCACTTGTGCGAAAATTCGTATAAATTCTTAAAGAAATAGGCACACAGTCGAATATCTTAATACAGTAGAAATTCTACGATTTCTTCAAATTTTAGGAATTTATTTGTAAATGCATTTCTTTTTTCAAATCAATTAGTCTCATGAATTTTATCTTTGTAAACATTTTTCTTATTTACTCATTTCTGTTATGTCGCCATTTCAACATTTCAGTTCAGGAAAGAAACAATTAACTTTTTTTAAATTATATGTTCTTCTAATTACTTAGGAATTGTTTTCCATTTCGTAGATCCGATCTATTTATGATAATTGAGTTTCTGGTAAATAATAGACATTTATCAATTTTATATTTTACTATTTTAAATTCCCTCCAAAATGGCAAATATAAAAATACATTGTTTGATAAAATTCCTATGTAATAAAGATTTTTGAATGAATTTCTTATTCAGTTGTTGAGGCACATGATCCCAACTTCGTTTTCAGAGGTCCTTGTTGGCTCTGTTTACATTCTGTATTGTTTTAATGAGTTGGGCATGATCAAAGTCGTTATCTTCAAACAAGCACCTGGTATAGCATAGCAGTGAGACTGAATTTCCAAGTTTTTCTGACATAATTTTATATACGTAACTATAGTTTACTGTAGATAACTCTAGGAAATACTTCGATACTTTGATTTACTATGAAACTAAACTCTGGAACTTTATTTTTGAGGTTTCGAAGCTTAATAGCTCTAAAATTCGATAGCAATGTAAACAACAACAATGTCAAATTTGAAAATACATGTAATATGTGAATCTACAGGTAGTATTTCCATTTGATAGTAAAACTGCGTCTGTACATTGGATACATAAGATGTAATAATCTTAAATCTATAGTAAAAAAAATACTTTGATTACCGTAAACATAACAAGTAAAAACTTCGATTTACAAAGGTAGAAACTTTGATACTATAATAAACTTTAGTTAGCTCTAGTAATCTGTAGTTAACTATAGCATTTTTTGTTAGGGTTAAATGTCCAAAATTTCTTACCAAGCGTATTGACTATGATGTCCAGTTGTCCAGTGTAGACTGATACCTTCAGAGTTGTTTCAGATACCAGTTTGTCAACTAAAGAGAGTGATACAACAATAGCAAATTAAATAGTAAATTGTTTACGTAAAACAATACAAAAAAATATATAACACTTCAACCAAAGAATCCGACAAAACGTGGAAAATAACATCCATTCCACCTGAAAAGCCCCTATGCGTACTTAAATCTTTAAGTAACAAAACATTGGTCAGTAAGCTTGATAAAGGAATGTTTGAATAATTTAGTAAATTATTACCTATTGCCACAACTGGCTTCATGAAATCGTTGATTAAACTGAGGTAAACAGAATCATTTTGCCCTGTTGAAAAAAAAATGGTGATTATGTTTCAAATTCTTACTCTTCTCAGTTTCTATTTATTATTTTTAAGTTGCATATTATACTGCGCGGATTGTGAAATGTATACCTCCCCAGGTGACGTTTGTAGGAATGATTTTCAATTTCCGGCGTATCTTCCCATTCATCAAAGCCCACAGAGCATCTTCTGGAGATTTGCACATAACTGCCAAGTAAAGGTCTTACACGTAAGCAGATAAGGTATTGTTTGCACCTTTACTTCTTTTATTTATGCTCTAAGAAAGATACAAGCTTTTTACAATTTTTTATACGAATAACATAGTTTCAAAATTTTGAAATATTTCTTAAATATGTATGTTCAGTCATTTAATAATATTGATCAAAAGCCCATGAGAAAAAAACTGAATTCGCCGTTTTTTATATTGATACGATCAAATGACACACTATGAGAAGCATCGGTATTAGATTATACACTACGTACCGTATACAGAATCTAATCAAAGGATAATTTTTTCAGGATATCTTAATTTAAAATTATAGTATCACGTGAAAAAACATAACAATACCAGGGATTTTGAATAGATATGTAATGTTCGTAATCCTTAAATTGATAAACATTATAAAAGAAATTCCATGTTGTACATGTATTACATGTAGGAAAGACATACAGTTTTTTTGTTTGGTTTTTTTTTTTTTGTTTGTTTGTTTGTTGTGAAACGTCTATCTGGAAAAGTTTTCACTCATATGGAGACGCCACCAATTGCCGGTGCAGGGCTGCAAATTTTGACCTATACTCGGCACTCAGGGCCATTGAGCAGTGAGGGATCTTTTTCGTTCCAGCACTTACTGCGACACAGGACCTCGGTTTATACGGTCTCATTCGAAGGACCGGCCTCCACGTCCTGCAGTGGATTCGAACCCGCGACGTAAGGATTAACTCCTTACATCGCCACTCTAAAGCAAACGCTCTAATCACAGCGCCACGCGGGTGACAAGACATACAATATCATTTAGTATTAAAAAGGCCGCATTCAGGCTTCATTGTTAGAACTCTTCAATTATACATGGAACAATAGAATAAAGTTATTGGAATTTCTTTATGTGTGCTGTGGCTTCAATTTGACACAAAATGGCTAGCATAAAAAGCGTGAATATACTATTACCGATTTACTCAGTGTGTTTTACAGTAAACTAGATACATGTACCTCTTCCAGATGAAAATCTAAAATCATTTGCTGATGTTTTTGATTTATCAGAATCCTTCCATTCAAGAAAGTTGTACAAGTTGACTCCATTGGTGAAGATTAGAAGACGTCCCCCCATTTCAGACATATAATTGAATGCATATATCCAATTTCCATTTACGATGCTGTTCTCAAGCGTACTGTATATTTTCGATAACTTTTCTGCTTCATTCTTGTCAATAAGTGCCTGTAATTTATTTTTATTAAAAAAAATAGTCACTGACAAAAATCTCTAAAATGAAATATGAAGATAAAGAATAGTAATCATGCTCATCAGTCCATTAAAACAATACAAATTTGGAGCAGAGACAACCCAAAAAAAACATCAGAGGTGGGATCAGGTGCCTTGGAGGAATAAGCGACCCCGTTGACCTGTCACACCTGCCTTGAGATGTATTGGGACAAAAGTGGTTGTGTGTCATTTTTATCAATACAGTTATGTTTTTTGTTCAATTAGCTAGATCGTAATGGACCCTTTGCAAAAAAAATTAACTAACGTTGGCCAATGTGTAGTTGATCCAACTTTGAACTGTATTTGCTGGATGAATAAAAGGTGCCCCTAGTGTCACGCCAACAAATGAACATATCACGCTTCCCTCTGAAATTGCCTGTGGATAAAAGACAAATTAAATCAGTTATTTTCATTATTTAAGTGTATACAGGAATTTTCATACGATTATGTAAATATATCGGTTACAACTGCATAACAATTATCCAAATTGAATACAGTTTATTAAGACCTATGGTATTCTCCAGAGAAAAGGTGATAAATGCACATTTCTTTGATCAAATTAACTTTGACTTGTATATCATCCCCTTTCAATGTGTGAGAAAGATTGCGTGAACTTCGCTCTCCTTTTTTGGCTGAATTTGAATTAAATTCATTAAAAGGACTTTACCTGAATCAATTGATCTGCAATTACAGCAGTCATTTTGCCTCCATAAGACTCTGTCATGATATAAAAAGGAACATTCTGGAAATAAAGTGCATGAATGAAGTATTTTATTACCTGAGAAATGAAAGGAGTGCATCTTTACGAAAAGAAACAAATTTAATGGCAACTACCTATATTTTTAAATAGAAACATGAGAAAATGCAATGAATTTTTAAAGAAATTCATACAATAAAATTTGCCAAATTTATGATAGTGAGAATTGTACTCTTGGCTTTTGGGGTAAAACAAAATTAAGTTCAATAAAGAAAAGCATTCATGTATACTGTAGAAAATGTGTATTCGGCATTCAGAAGATGATGATTGATTGTATGTAGTTTTACGTCCCATTTAAGAATTTTTCACTCATATAGAGACGTCACCATATACCGGTGAAGGGCTTCTAATTTTGAATTTTACTCGGCACTTAGGGCCATTGAGCAGTGAGGGATCTTTATCACGCCAACGTCTGTCGTGACACGGGGCCTCGGTTTTTAAGGTCTCATCCGAAGGACCTGCAACTTTCACTTCAAAGTGCTGAGCGCATTGCGAAGGAAAAGTTGCTACCTATTTTTTATCGACTTAGGTGAGTCGCGGCCGAGATTCGAACTCACGACCTCCCGATCACGGAGCGAGCGCTCTAACAACTGAGCTACCATGAACAGTGGCATTCAGAAGTATTTTATTGTATGTTTTATATATATATATATATATATAGAGAGAGAGAGAGAGAGAGGATATTCAGTGTTTTGTAGTTGGATATGGAATTTATCTCACGAGTGGGACAGGATTTTTTTTATATTTTCACGAGTGCGGAGCACGAGTGAAAATATTTTAAAAATCCTGTTTCATGAGTGAAATATATTCCTTATCCAACTACAAAACATTGACTTTTCTATTTATTACATTTTCTTTGATTTTCCCTTAGCCTCTTTCTTTTCTTAACACAGTACAGAGACGTATAAGACATCCATTAGACGTCTGTGCACAGTACTATTGTCGCAGGCTGTGACGTCATAGTTGAACAGCTGCGATGTCACAGCTTAACAATTATTACATGTAGATTGAAAACATTGTAACATGGATTTCGGCAAATATTTGGGAAGAAATTTGCATAGTCTGTATCAAGACGGTTTATTTACTATCTCTAGCTTATGACTAGTCAAAACTGATTTTTTACTTATTTTGATATCCCTTCACATTGTGAGAGAATATCACTTTGGTTATTCTTTCACACTGTGAGAGAATATCACTTTTATTCAATTAATAAATCACTGTATTTCACTGTCAAAAATGTAATAAATATATATTTTCAACGAAAAATAAAGCATACCTGAAATTTCTTTCCATTCGAACTTCTGAAGAATACAGCCAGAAAGGTAATAATATCAGATGCAATCATTTCAGTGCTGTTACAGTACAGAAATTCAGACTCAACGTAGCTATATCCAGACCCAACTGGACTGTCCACAAATAGAATACTGGCCTCTGAAAGCTATCATCATCATTGAAAGGAATATAGTTTTCGTCATCGATTATTCTTTTATTCTTAACTTAAATTAAGTTATAGAATAGCAACAAAGGAGGATAATAGTATATAATGGCATTCATAAGAACAATTTTATCTAGACGGGGCGCAGGGGGGGGGGGGGGGATTTACATTATCTAGTTATATTTATATGTTATACATATAATTATGTGGTTGGAAACCTATTTGTATAATTAGAGTGCTTATATTGAAGCCCAAATAAGAATACAGATAAGAAGCATTCCTGCTCCGAACTAGGTGTGAGATTTCTTGAGCTTGCAATTTTTATTTAGGATTATTTTAAGGTATATTTTCTGAGCTTTAGCTTAACAAGCACAAAATTACTGTAACAGTTTATATTAAGGTATGCCACTTTTCGGCTTTTGTAGAAAGTTTGCTCAGAACCTTTAATATCAAAAGTATCAATTTTTATTCATAGAATTTCTTGAGTTATTATTTGTTATGTTTTAAGTGATATTTTTATAACAAATTTTGACACATTTTTGAAATACATATTTTGCAACACAAGTAAGATTAAATTTATCGTGCTTTTAACATAAAGTTTTATTAATGTAAAATCACTTATTTTCATTTGACATAATTTACCTCCCTTGAGGGAAATTAATTGGTTCCTGGGATTTGATTTCAAGGGTTTTCATGCCATAATCAGGATTTTTTCTTATTCAGAACTTTTATATTCACAAAGTATATATTTTAAACCGTAAAAAATTCCTGTTTGAATTTTTCTGTGTACAGTTTTTATCATGAATTATGTAAAAAGTATCAATAAAACTGAATTTTTTACTAAGTATCTAGAATATCAATAACGCTATTCATTCAAACATTTTCATTAATTGATGGGAAATAATTTTCAGTTTTCCATTTCCAACAAAAATCCATTATCAGATCTAACCCTTACAAACAATACTATAGTTATTTATAGTGATAACTTTGACACTTTGATTTACTATAGTGATAACTTTGAAGACTCGGATTTACTGTTGTGATCACTGTGACACTATAGTTATAACTATGAAAACTTTGAAATACAATAGTGATTACTATGAAAATTTTGATTTACTATAATGATAACTTTGTTACAATAGTTATCACCTTGAAAACTTTGATTCACTATACGTATAAACTTTGGTATTTTTTATAGGGTATACATATTTAACATCTACAAGTAGTTGAGAAAAGCATGTAATGAAATGAAAAAGAGACATGCAATAGAAAAAATTTGAGTTACCCAAGTTGTATTTCTTTTCTTTAGAGACACATCCAATGGTCCAATTTCCTGGAAATTTCCCATGCCGGTGGACGATTGACCTGGTCCACCCTTCAAGTTGATTCAAGATTTATACAATAGTTCTCAATGCTTTTGATGTGGAATTCAACATAAATTTAACAATTACTAGCTTTATCTTCTTTTTCTTATCTCTTATTGCAAGTTTTTTTTTTAATTTATACTTAATGTATATCACTCCTGACACTGGTAATGTCAAGGAAATTTTGGAAAGGATATTTTAAAATATTTACTCATACAGCTTACAGCATAACTCAAAATTTAAAAGAAAATCGGGGTCATTGTGCACATCACTGAACAGTAATACCATGAGCTTGACCTTTGTGCAGCTAACTTGTAACTTTTGTGTTAATCACAACCTCAGTAATATTTTAGAAGATGTAATTGTAGCAATAAATATTATCTTGTTTTATATAAAATACGTAAAATCGAATATATATTTCTAAACAATAACTGCTATTGTTGCATGTTAATTATTGTATGATCTGTTTGCGCTAATGATATATCGTATTTTGAGTATTTAGAATCTAAGAACTCATTGTAATATTTTCTTATATCAAGCTTTCCATGACTTTAGTGCTGAGTGGTAAAAAGTATTGTGTTATTTCAAAAATGAAAAATAAATAAGGCGAGTGATGTAAATTTTGAAATATGGGTTAGATTTTACAAATTTAAAGCTGAAAAGGTAAGTTAATTTTGTGTTGACGATTTCAATATATCTGATATTTTTTTTAAAATATGTGGAAACTTGCAAATGTGTAGATATCATTTGAAACCTGCATTGAATATTTCTAGCTTATAATAAGATTAACATTTCTGTGAGTAAAAGTTTGTAAGACCAAAGTTCCAACATTTTGTCTTTAAAACAGAGCAATTTATGTCGTAAGAATCGGTTAAGTTGATGAAGATTTCAACTATTCAGAGAGCAAAACTAAGAAATATAGAAACTTGTACCTGGAGCCACATGATAAGGGGAACATCACTGATTCCTCGTAGAGACATTGTGTGATATAACCAGTAAAACAGGTGCGCCCCAGGACGAACTGTCACATAGTCCCATTTCTCCGTACCAGAATCTGCAGAAACTGTTTTAAAAAAGGCAAAAATTTACGATATGTGGCTTAAAAAATATTAGTCTGCTTGAATCTCCATACTGATTGTGTTGTGTCATATTAATCTAATCACGTGACATGCAAGAGCATGCTTGAGAAGTTTTATGAATCTAAATTGAACAATAATAATGGTTACATCACCGGTAGATACTAGAAGCAATGACAACAGATGCCAATACATCAGCATGTCACTGGTGTAATGAAACCAGGATAATATGTATACCACCTTCCAATGTCTATATATGTATTAGTCTCATAATTATTCATTTATTTGCACACGCTACATATAATTTACACGATAGTTGTTACCAACAATGTCCTTTTGTTTGATACTCAGCCTTACTATCAATAATAAATAATGCATAATATTAATATGCATTTAAGAGGTCCTTTTGGCACACAATGACCTTTTTGAAGTCTTTGAACAATATAAAAACTGTTCTATATCCGAAAACGAAATTTAAAAATAAGAAAAAACTTCCCCTAGATACATGTGCTTTCTTCATCTCTCCTTTATTTGTGATATGTAATGGAAAAAAAAACTTTATTGACTGAAATGTTATGCAATTTTGCTTACGTTTCGCTCTGAACACGATTACATGATAAATGAGAAACATGTACCTCTAGTTTTTAATTACATTTCCAAGTTGGCGGAGGTATTATATATGGACACTAAGTGCCTTTAAGTTAGGTATCCGCCTTCCGTGCTGATAACTTGCAATGATTATTTCAGCCAAGTTAGTTTGAAAAAGTTTATATGTTTTCACCCCTGTCTGTATGACTGTATGTATCTCTATTGAAAGTTTAAAACTGTCTTTCTTTCATTATGGTTTCTCAAAACGTCATGAAGGGATTTTTATGACTTCAATGCATTTGAAGATTTTTGAGGTCTTAACTTTTCCCTGCATAAGATTATTCAAATTGCATGTAAACATAGTTTAATCCCATTTAGCCTGTACATAAATTTCTTAGATTCCTAAAATTCAAGACCTATAAGAGATAGATTAATCAGGTTTGTGGATTCCCACTATTTTAAAAGAGAATTGTAAACATGCTGTAAAGGTGATTTGCTGTTGAAATGTGCACATTCCATATAAAATGCATCGAAATATTTTCAATAATAAAACAGTGTCGAAGAAAAATCTTTCATGAAATAAAAGAAGGAAAAATACAGACTAGTTTGCAGTTTTTTTTTCTATTATTGATAGGCAGAACAACATCAGCCTACTTTAAATAATATTTTTTCAAAAAAAAAAATCTTGCTGGTTTGGGCAACAGGGAATGCCTATAACTACCTTCTCCATACTAATTGTTCTTGATCTGGTTTATTCTTTTATACAATTTGTAATACTGTAATTCACAGGATACGGAAATTCCGAAACCCCTGAAAAAGAATCGTTAGCTCATAAGGTACTCTAAGTTCACACAAGTTTTTTTTTTCTCAAACTGTAAAAGGGTTGTACTGGTTGAAAAATCTGCAATGATTCATAGATATAACAGAGGGCAATGCAATGAAAAATTTTGTTTTGTTTGTTTGGTGTTCAACGTCCCTCTAGAGAATTTTCCACTCTTATGGTTTATACGCCTCATCTGAAGGACTGGTCTCCACGCAGTGGGATTCGAACCCGTAACGTAATGATCAACTCCTACACCGCGATTCTAGAGCAAATGCTCTATAACCACTGCACCACGCGGGTGACTTGAAAATTCGTGTAAAATAATATAAATTTATGATTTATTCCTTGCTGATATAATGATCAGAAGTGATGGGATATTTCACCATATATGGCATAATGGTGACATATTTGGTCATGCCATCAGAAAACCCACTCGCAAAATCGGACTCCATTTTGCCATTGTGAGTATTTTATTTTCTTGAGCACCTAAGCTGACAAAGTAAGAAGTACTACTAGATACTTTAAAATGGGATATGTTTAATAAGATAAAATTATATCCTAGGGTGCAGATATTTAAAAAAAAGTGATTCATAGGTTAACCTCAAAGTAACACAGCTTCATTCTTGGTATATTGGATCTAGGTTATCAAGTACAGAAAAGAATCAAATTATGAATACTTGCCCAACCAATTAAGAAATAAACAACAATGTTAAAAAGTTCTCTGGGAAATGAATTTGGTTGGTCACGTGATCAAATCCTGTGAAGCCCGAAGGGCTTCTCAGAAGATTTGATCACGTACCAACCAAGTTTATTTCCCAGAGAACTTTTTAACATTGTTGTTTATTACTTTTATTTACATTTGAGACGAATTTTCTGAAAAGAACTGCATTTATTACACGAACGGCCCGCCGTATTGCTATGTTGTGACGCGAAGTGACCTAGAAGCTGTTTGGTCTTGAGAGTTCGCCTCGCTCCAACATTTGAATACTTACCTTGATGTTCAGCAGTCCAGTTCAGGAAATATCTATTCATAATGAAAAAAAACAATGATCGCTACTGAGAATAATCTTACTATTACTCATTTACTGTATGAGTTCTTTATATGAAATCAAAAGCGGTGGTATCATCTTCAGTTTACATACCTTCAAAGAAGGTAAGTGTGATTTTAGGCTAATTAAAAACATTCTTCACACCGAAGAAAGAACTAATGATCATTTGTTGAACGAAAAAAACATATATGTTTATCTTTTTCATCGCTTTAACGGCTTAGAAGTTCCGAAGCCACTTTCACCGGGACAGAAATATGTAAACAAGATGATTCGGTCACGCCATGACCTCTGACCCCTAATAAGTTCGTACAGAATTGAACATATTTTCTCTTCAATAGGTTCATCTAAGAAAAATATTTGCAAATGCAAATAAAGGGACATAAATGTTTTCACATTCACCTGTGTTTGAAATTCTCTATCTAAATGTTATGGTCAATGCAACCATCTATGAAATAAGGATTTTCCTTCCCAGGAAAGAAGTATTCATTATAAAAGACACAAATGAAATTCATTAACTTTCGGAACATACCTTGACAGATGGAGAATTGAACTTTATTCTGCACTGTGTACTGCAAGCCATTGGGGATAATGGGCCTGTGAGTCATCTAACGATAATTTGTAAATATTTTTTTGTATTGCAAGGAAGATTTTCTTGTGAAACAGAACCACAAAAGGTCAAAGAATGGCGAGGCTCGATATGAAATGTTTAAAAACAAAATATGGTTGAAATTCTGGTCACTAACTGTGACCCAATTGAATTTTTTTTCCGTCCTTGAGTTGTACATCTCATTGGAATATCAAACGAATATTGAAAAATATAAAAAGATATTTATGACATATTAGGGGAGTGGAGAGGGAAAAAATTCTCATTTATGGGTATACAAATTATTATAAACAAATGCTCAATAGGCTTTAATGAGCCAAACAAAAATGCATAATAATCAAAGTGTAATTACTGTAAAGTTATGTAATGAGGAACACATACATATAATATAATTAACCTCGTTATGGCCTGAATCTTGCTGGTTGATCATACTGCAGTCTTACATGTAAATGTAACTCTAAAATTTACAATTTAAAATTTTATAATAATTAGACATGATAATTATTCCTATTTTATTTATGATGAAGGTAGTTTCGGAAGTGTTATTTTAAGTATTGCATAATTTACAATTAGAATTTTAATAGGTCGGTACTCGCTTTCATATCCACGAACTGAGAAAGTTTCAATGATCTATATTACATGTACATTTTGTAGCTATTAGTGGATAACTTTACAAATCGGGAAAAGTTTACATTGAATCTCAATAAAGAAATATTTAAATATACTCGTATTTTTCTTTCAACAATTTTGATCTATTTTTATATGGATATTGTATATATATATATATATATATATATATATATATATATATATATATATATATATATATATATATATATATATATATATCTCCAGTACAACGAGCGCTACTATTAGAATTTTTTTCAAGTACAAGTACATGAATCATTTCTGGAATCTTTCTTATATATAGTTTTGTAACACTGTCTGATAACAAAATAGGAAGTTTTTGAATAATCATTCCTGTTTTTATTTAAATTATAATCACCTACACAGCGAAAGGGCCATCCTTATTCAAATATGTATCCTCTTCCAAGTGAGTACTTTTGTAACAAAGCTGTTTTTTATCTAATAAAATCAATGAATATATTGTTCATGCTATTGTATGACAAGTGCTGTTGTAATAAATATTCAAAAGCTTCTGTATTTATTAAATTACGTTACGTAACCAAAATCCACTTTCCATAACCAAAATAGACAGACAAAAAATACTATAATTCATTTTGCATGAAAGTGGCTTTCCTGGATTTTACGGAAACAGATTTTCCGTATATAAGAAACAAAAGTCATCTGTATGGTTAAACGACATTTGGTGTATTTGACTAAAGTTTTCTTTCCAAAGTGGATTTTTTTTTTTTTATGAAAGAGAGACATTTTAATGTGGTCTCAATTCTAACTTCAAGTTATGAATGCTCAAAAATTAAATGCAAAAGAATACCTTTTTATCTTAATTCTGACTTTTAAATCTCTTTAACTGTTTTTAGTTTTTAATCAATAATATGTAAGCAAAACTGCCTTTGTTATTATTCTCTCTCTCTCTCTCTCTCTCTCTGTGTGTGTGTGTGTGTGTGCGTGTGTGTGTGTGTGCTCTTTTCAAATGCCTTTTTGCTAAAACTGAAGTAAGTTCAAGAACAAGATAAATTGATAAAAGAATGAAGAGGGCTTGCGATCCAATATTTGCTAAAATATTCAACATGCCCTAAAACGATTAGAAAAAAATATTTTTTTAAACAAATGGTTAAGATCAAATCATTTTAAGAGTATTTTAATTTTCGAATAAAAAAAAATCACAATATCGTATACAGTATCGGCAGCTGTATTTGAAAAGGGTAAAACACAGAACGAGTTTTCTAGCAGTCCCTGGCATTACCTCAACACTTGAGACGCACAACACTTGAATTCCTTTAGTCTAATCATTTTTGCATAATAATTTTTGATAAATTCATTGAAATAAATTCATATAATTTGTTATCAGATTATACAAAATGCGACTATTCAAAAACAAAAACATATTTTGATTAGATTGTCTGGGGAGTATTATATTGGATGCAAATTAATTGTGTTTTCATATATTGAAAATAACAAATATAAGTACATGTACATTGTACTTAAGGAAGGTACACGCCATTTTTGCCGTT